TAACAAGTGTTGGGGTGGACTTGATTTATCAAGTATTCGTGTGGACCTGAATGAACAAGTGTTGAGGTGGACCTGACTGAATAAGTGTTGGGATGGACCTGATTCAACAAGTGTTGAGGTGGACCTGATTTAACAAGTGTTTGGGTGGACCTGACTGAACAAGTGTTGAGGTGGACCTGATTTAAGAAGTGTTGGGTTGGACCTGATTCAACAAGTGTTGGGGTGGACCTGGTGTAACAAGTGTTCGAGTGGACTAGACTTAATAAATGTTGAGGTGGACCTAATTTAACAAGTGTTCAGGTGGACCTGATGTAACAAGTGTTCGGCTGGACTTGATTTAACAAGTGTTGGAGTTTACCTGACTGAACAAGTGTTGGAGTGGACCTGATTTAACACATGTTGCGATAGACCTATTTTAAAAAGTGTTGGGGTAGACCTGACTGAACAAGTGTTGAGGTGGACCTGATTTAACAAGTTTTGGGGTAGACCTGATTTAACAAGTGTTGAGGTGGACCTGACTGAACAAGTGTTGGGGTGGACCTGATTTAACAAGTTTTGGGGTAGACCTGATTTAACAAGTGTTGAGGTGGACCTGACTGAACAAGTGTTGAGGTGGACCTGATTTAACAAGTGTTGGGGTGGACTTGATTTATCAAGTATTGGTGTGGACCTGAATGAACAAGTGTTGAGGTGGACCTGATGTAACAAGTGTTGGAATGGACCTAACTGAATAAGTGTGTGGGTGGACCTGACTGAACAAGTGTTGGGGTGGACCTGATTTAACAAGTGTTGGGGTGGACCTGACTGAACAAGTGTTAGGGGTGAATCTGACTGAACAAGTGTTGGGGTGGACCTGATTTAACAAGTATTGGGGTGGACCTGATTTAACAAGTGTTGGGGTCGACCTGATTGAACAAGTGTTGGGGTGGACCTGATTTAACAAGTGTTGAGGTGGACCTGATTTAACAAGTGTTTGGGTGGACCTGACTGAACAAGTGTTGAGGTGGGCCTGATTTAACAAGTGTTCTGGTGGACCTGACTGAACAAGTGTTGGAGTAGACCTGAATGAACAAGTGTTGAGGTGGACCTGATTTAACAAGTGTTGGGGTGGGCTTTATCTAACAAGTGTTGGAGTGGACCTGATTTAACAAGTGTTGGGGTAGACCTGATTTAACAAGTGTTGAGGTGGACCTGATGTTGGGGTGGAACAAGTGTTGGGGTGGACCTGATTGAACAAGTGTTGGGGTGGACCTGATTTAACAAGTGTTGGGGTGGACCTGATTTAACAAGTGTTGGGGTAGACTTTATTTAACAAGTGTTGGAGTGGACCTGATTTAACAAGTGTTAGGGTGGACGTGATTAAACAAGTGTTGGGCGGGACCTGATTCAACAAGTGTTGAGGTGGACTTGATTTAACTGATTTTAACAAGTGTTCGGGTGGACTTAATCTAACAAGTGTGTGGGTGGACCTGACTGAACAAGTGTTGGGGTGGACCTGATTTAACAAGTTTTGGGGTGGACCTGATTTAACAAGTGTTGGGGTAGACTTTATTTAACAAGTGTTGGAGTGGACCTGATTTAACAAGTGTTGGGGTGGACCTGATTTAACAAGTGTTCGAGTGGACCCGATTTAACAAGTGTTGGGGTGGACCTGATTTAACAAGTGTTTGGGTGGACCTGACTGAACAAATGTTGAGGTGGACTTTATTTAACAAGTGTTGGAATGGACCTGATTTAACAAGTGTTCGGGTGGACCCGATTTAACAAGTGTTGGGGTGGACCTGATTTAACAAGTGTTCGGGTGGACCCGATTTAACAGGTGTTGGAGTGGACCTGATTTAACAAGTGTTGGGGTGGACTTTATCTAACAAGTGTTGGGGTGGACCTAATTTAACAAGTGTTCGGGTGGACCCGATTTAACAGGTGTTGGGGTGGACCTGATTTAACAAGTGTTCGGGTGGACCCGATTTAACAGGTGTTGGAGTGGACCTGATTTAACAAGTGTTGGAGTGGACCTGATTTAACAAGTGTTGGGGTGTACTTTATCTAACAAGTGTTGGGGTGGACCTAATTTAACAAGTGTTGGGATGACCCTGACTGAACAAGTATTGAGGTGAACCTGATTAACAAGTGTTGGCGTAGACCTGACTGAACAAGTGTTGGGGTGGACCTGATTAAACAAGTGTTGGGGTTGAACTTAATCTAACAAGTGTTGGGGTGGACCTAATTTAACAAGTGTTGGGGTGGACCTGATTTAACAGGTGTTGGGGTGGACCTGACTGAACAAGTGTTGAGGTGGACCTGCATCTTATTGATATTAACAATACCGAGTGACTTCATCATGCTGGCATTTCTTATATGTGAATCAGTCTTTGTAAAGATCGAGAGCAAGCACTTATAATATTGCGTTTTAGAAAGCAACTATATATAGACGACTGCAAATATATCAAACAAAACATAAGTTACTTATACAATCTTTTCGAGGAAAACATTTGATCCGTCTTCATTTGTTACGTATTTTTTTGTGATTGAGAAGATCGGATTGTCAAAATATTTTTCCTGCTCCTCCTTTTGGAGAGAGTGATTACTCGCTGAGAATAGTGTTGTTCTAATCAGTTCACAGAAAAAAAAGGATTCAAATTACTATATTGCTGTGATTATTAATCAACAAAGATGACGACTTCGAAAGTTGTATTTTCGGAAACCGAGTCGAGTGTAGAAAACCGTACGGACTACAATTAAAGGGAGATAAATCATATAACGGACAATTTGATACAATTCTGAGTGATCTAGCTTTACACAAAGAAAAAACGAAAAATGTTTTAAATCTTTGAAGTTTGTGTTTTATATACATACTGTAGACCAGTTTCTTACAGAGTCAAATCCCTTGAAAAGTTATTGACTTTAAAAATAAAATTTATTCTTTTTCTAAGTGCAGGTTAAGTGCAAGAGTTACGATCACTTATGCCCTCGGTATCCCCGGAACATTTCGCGGTATCTAAATTGATCGTCGAGGTTTAATTCATGTATACGGAAGGAATTAAAATTTTAAAGTCTTTAAGTTGTAAAAAAAAAAAGGCAGAATGATTTTAGCCAGCTCCCGTCCATCTCCCAACTATGAAAACTTTGATGGCATCTAAGGGTGGCATGTCAGGATGTTAAAGAGATAACGCGCGACCGAAGGGAGATAACTGCTATATCATCAGCATACTTCGTTATTTCTCGTTATTGAGGTCATACCTTCATAAAGATATATATTCGAAACACTTCCTACAACAGAAAGAATAATATGTGATTTCTTTCTCATAAAATAATGTTAGTTATGAAATATCATACATCAGAAAATTTTAATGTAAAATAGACGCTATTTGCTTAAATATGTTACAATACAGATTTACTTTCTCAATCCCAAAACTTTCAAACGGACGTCTGGAAGGAAAATCCGAATTTCCCTTAGCTTAAAGACAATGAGAGGATCGTTGAAGTTGGCGTGATCCGAGAACGTTTCTATGCGTTTTGTTAATTTGGACCCGACCGCTCTATTGTGGCGAGTGAGTTAACCGTTACGCCATTCAATATATCATTTAACTCAATATTTAAATCAACACGTTACCACATTGAATTGTCTTTGTTTCTTTTCCTCAAATAATCACAATGTATGCCACAGGACGAGTGACGTAAATTGAAAATTAAGAAAAAAAGTAGTTAATTGTTTCAAAAAACAATAACAAAACAAACAAAAAAACATACATTGAGTTACAAACGATTTTCCCATCGAGATTTTTATTCCGTCAATATCCAACATGCTGACACAGTGGATCTCGTATTCAATGATGTCATTTTAGTGACTAGTGACCGTCAAACTTCGCTTTGGTACTCTCATTCCGTTGTAGATTGAGATAAGACAGGGTGCATTTGGTGTTTCATTTGCGTCCCACGAAATAAAGAGTAAAAGTTATCAGATATTGATTATCGGCACCTTCTGTTTTACGCTTAATATTGGGTTAAAATACAGCTCTGATTATCATTCTTTGGTATCTTCTTAACCCATAATTGAATAATGGAATTAAATGGAACAAATGTGTGAGATTCTATTTATCATATAACTTTTAAAAGCAATCCAGAAAGTCAAGAAAAAAAGTCAAGAAAACAAGACGTGAAATCTGAAATAGCGATGATAAAATTCTCACGCTATATATCCTCTTCGGTGACGTCACAATGGATTTGACAACTTAATTAAGATTATGACGTCACAGCCGAAATAAAGGGAACAATCAGCCAATCGCATTCTCATTAGGGTGTTATTAGGGCGGCGCGCATGAAACATATTATGAGCGAATGATTAACGAGCTTCGATTCAATTGATCACGTGAGGTCATATTTATTAAAGACAGTGCCATACGATGAGTAAAATATTTAGACGATGATTAAAAACACGACTGTAGAAAAAAATACGAGAAATCTGGCCTTTTTCCGACAAATTATATTTTACATTTAAGATACACGTTTATTAGAACATGCCTATTTGCTCTATCTTCTTGATGGTTCATGTTCTGAAAAACAATCTTAATTTAAAATGCATGAAAGGGAAGACAGATTGCAATATCTTATATGTATAGTTAATCTGTTCACAGGTGTTTGAAATTCTGACTGTAAATTGAGAAATTAATAAGACATAAAAGAGATGTACTCTTATTTTCAGTCAGAATTCCAAACACCTGTAATCTGGTTTAATGTAAATCTCTCTTGACATTATTACTGGTCCTTTTTTCGTTACACATACTCTTTGATTGTTCGCCCTCAACAGTGTATTGAAACCACACGGCACATCAAACGCTAACAACAATGTATTTCAAGAATTCAGTCAATGCATGAAAGATGGGCCCATTTTTGACCTCATTATTTTGACCAATGGGTAAGTGAGAATATTTCACTGCAGTATTTCAATTTTCCGGTGACGTAATGAAGGACTTTTACTGAAGTTTTTGAAAACTGAATGAGATATTTATATACGACATCGATACATACAGTAATGCTGTAACTATTGGACAGTTGTTATACGGGGTAATTATCACGTTCGTAGAAGCATTAAGAAACTTGTGTGAAGTTTACGTCCCTTGTGAAGCTCCGGTTATTACGGCGCATGCGTAGCCGTAGCCATATTGGAAGAGGAAAAAGAATACAGAAAGAGGTACGCTTGTAAACACTATGAAAAGTGATGTTTTAAGTCTATTGATCTGACTATAATCTCACAAAGTTTGTATTGGAATAGTTTATTACCGTTAACCGTAAATATCATTGACACAGAGGACATATTTTGTCCAGAATATGACACGGAAGCAATGGTAACCCTCGTCTCGGTCATTCAGAGATCAGCATCAATTTTCTTGCAACGGGAGGGGGGAGGTACTTCGGTAGTTGATACTGTCCGCATTTGTGTATTTTTCCTCTTTGAAGCCTGCATACTTGTTAATAATGCATTTATTTCCAGAAAGTATTTGTGTGTATTGGAGCTTAGTCACTGAGACCGATTTATTGGTCGCAATGCCGACAGCCTAAGGGTATTTTTTCGTTTCGGAAGTTGGGAATGTACAGCTCGTATCTGGCTTTTTGCGTTGTCTATAAAGTAAACATATATCATTGTGTACTGATTTCACGTAGTTAACATTTATTTTTGTTGCTTCTGAAAGTTAGGACCAAATGGTTGGCCTTCTTAACAAAATGTACAAATGTTGCTGTCCACACTTTGATATCCGGTTTTGACACTATTCTACCCCACCCAATATATAAGGTGACATCTGCATTATTGAAGTAACCCCAGAATAAACGACTTGTGATATATGTTATATATTAGCCCTCTGACCATTGTTTGTCTAGTTTACAAAGTTTATAAGATATGTGTATCATGCCTGGAATAACCTGCTTTCATTGATACATTCTGTGGAATGTAACACATGGCATATCGAGGTCAAATGATCTTATACTATAAACATGTTTACTCAGCCTTACAGTTCATCTTCTCATGTCACCTCTTAGAGACTTCTTCATAGAATATTGAATGTTTTCTGACATTTTTACATACTACAAATAAATTCTGCTATCTTCCAGTGTTGATTATAATTTTTTAGATAGGAACAATTACTTATAGACTACCTTGATACTGTAACTTGGCATTGATCCTCATTGGGACTCACTCAAGTTTTAGAAATGATCCTCTGGACTTACCAGAAAAATCCTACTTAGCTTAATGTATTGCGAATTCATGGCCTTTTATTTTATTCATAGTCAGATGCTGGTACCTCATCAATACAGTAGTTGGTGGTTCTAAATTTTCTTTATTTATAGCAAACAACAGCTCGGTGTAACTGTGTGGTCGAGACATGGCCATTGTTAGATGTCCACTCAAAAGAACATGTAATGATTTGGACAACCATACCTTATTCTTAAAATTGGTAATGTTTTGATATTATTGATTCTATAAAACTGATTTGTTTTTTTATTTAGAAGTGGACACAAATTAAATTATGACACATTTTTCAGAATCATAATGTGACATTACAGCTAATTAAGCAAAATGAGAAGAAAATCTTCTGCAAGATGCACATATCGGTATAATGTGTAAACAATTATCAAAATGATTGGTGAATGCTTAAAATCAGATTCAAATAATGGAATGATTTTCCCACGAAATATTTTGCAGTGGACGCCAGTGCAATAAAAATTGATGTGCAATGTTATCTCAAGTAACATTTACTGTATGTCCTGTTTCACTTGACATATTTGGCTGGAAAAAGATTTAGTTGACAGACTTAATGTGTATGCTATTTATTTGATTATTCAGTGGGTTTTATGTCCACTGTTATAGCCTTTATTTCGGCCTTGCACCAGACAAACTGTATTACCAGTGTTGATACCTTACAGTACTGAGATGTATGGATGTAAGTGTCTGATGCACACTGCTGGCACCATTTTATGGCATGGGGCTGCTTTAATACCCAACCAAGAAGTCTTCATATAGGTTTTAATTTATGCCCAAGAATTTACTTAAAATTGTATTGTTCTAATTTATTGAGAAATTTACAAGCTGAAATTACAAACCCTTTTTTGTTCTAATTTATTGAGAAATTTACAGGCTGAAATTGATAACAAAGAATTGTGAATTTCCTAAAAATTCATGTATCAAAAGTGTAGGACAAATTATATTCGCATGGAAAAGTCCATTGATACATGACAAAGAACGCTCTACATATTTTTGTTGTGTGAATTCAACAGACATGAATAGATTTAAAGTCATTTTATTTTTAGAGTGTTTCTTGTAAGACTTTTGATTTAAGAAGGAAATAGATACTTATGATCGAGTTACTTACAAAATACAGGAAGATATTCAGATAGATTTTATTAGAAATATGTTGATAAGCAGAAGGGACAATATGAGCTGACAAACTTTAAAGCATTAGGGCCATTTTCAACAAGTTCTATTAGATTTCAAACAAAGAGATACCCAATGATTTTTGGTACTCAAGTGTTGGAGTCTTTGAAACAAGCCTTTCATGTGGATTCACTATAATTTTCAAAAACATACAATGTGTGGCATGATTTGTGTGGAATGAGGATAAAATGACTGACAAGGATGTGTATATTGAGTCACACATGAATATAAATGTGATTTCTCAGCATTACAAAACAAATGTTATCTGCTTTTTATTGTCCATCCTGCTGGATCAAATTATGGTGTTCTACAAGCAAAGGTCTGGGGCCACAACCTAACTATTGTTGGAGGACAGTAGAACAATTTTCCACACTCTTGGGGTTTAATCACTGGACAAATACTGCACGCCTCAGGGCTTGTAATAAATCCTTGTATTCACCCCAGAACAGGTCAGTAATTGTTTCAATATATGACAATAATCCATGCATCTGATTAGTTCAAAAATGTAGCACAGGTTGCTGGATTGTGAGATACTTGATGGTGGTTGGTTAGTTGGTTACTGATATTTTGTCACCTTGAGAGGGGGGAGATTTGTATAATTTCTTTGTGATTATTTATGGTATCATGCCATGGGTCTACATAAGAATCAACTCCAGTATGCTGACTCTTGAGTATGACTTTGTATACTCATTATTTATTAATACATTTAGAAAATTATATACCATATACTCAGAATAATTGATATTCACAATAATTTCCCAGTTTGGTGGGGTCTGTTTATAGAAGTACACTTGTATATCTATATGGTAGAGATTTTTTGTTCGAAGTCCATTGCGTAGCTACTTCATGTTCTTATTTTTGATGGAAGAGATCACATCATGCAGTAAATAATTTTTGTAGAATTTTCCTGTGAGTCTAAGAGCACCGTTTCCAAAATTTTGATTCGTCCAGTTTCAATCAGATGTAGTAGGTTTTCAAAATTTAGTGAGTCCCACAGAAAAAAGATGAGTCTAGGACTCTAATATTATGTCCCAAAATCACTTGTAGCAGAGAAAGAAACACAGAATCCATTTATATTTTGATTCAAATAGAGGACAAATCTAGTTTGAAATTTCAAGAGGGTGTGTCAGGGAGTGGAGAGGGGGGGGGGGGCTCAAATTTTGGGTTATTATGCAAGATGTTTGTTTTTGTTTTGAACATCTGCACACATTACATGTATGGATATGTATATATCAAAAAGTACATGTATTGCGCCTGTCATAGAGCATTCAGAGGTTCCCATAGCTTTAGCTACAGTGTGTAATGACATCAGGATCTATGCCAGATGAAAAGAATTTGAGAATTTATAGGTAGGCTTTATGACTATCAAACATTCTTGGAGTACACATATCACATAACCACAGGTATTCATGTGTATCAGAGAGATGCACAGTGGCAGACTAAACACAGGTAAAAATATAGCTTCTTTGTTAGTAGTTTCACCAAAGCCCAGAAATTTATTTGTATTTTGAGACACTTCATGTAGCATTCAAGGCATTGTTTGTATTGATATACGAAATTGACATTGTGACAGAATTCTTTTCTTCATTGGATGTGGAAGAATAGGAATTTCAAAGTGAATAGTGTTTTGTACATGTGTATGTTATCTACTAGCAATACTTTTTTTTTAAGTTTTTGTATGAAACTTCAAAAAACTTAAACCAGGACTAGAGTTTAAAGTAAACTGCCAGGTATACATGTTTGTGTGGTAAATATCTAGCAATGAAATAGAATTCTGATCTTATAGTCTTTTATTTTTGTTGTTGCATGTTATGTAAAACTTCATTCATCTTACTTGATGAACAATTTTGTAAATACATTTTTGAAATTCCAAGCAAAACATGTTACGTTTTTTAAGTTTTACCACTGTGAACAGAAAATACAAGACTAATACCCCTTTTAATACTGTTGTTGTCGTGAAATACACCATATCTGAACCATAATGTTTTGTATCTGTTCTAGTGCAGTATAAAACTTCATGTTTTCAATTTTCATACATTTTTGTAAGATTGTGTAAATTTCATCATTGATGCATATTCCACCAAATTTGGGGGGGGGGGGGGGGTGTAAAATATGCTGAAATGCAGCTGATCTGGAGCAGTGGAAATATAGTATATAAATAGAATAGAACTTAAAAAAAAAATATTGATGGTAGACTGTTTCAGTATAGTGTAAGCATTATTTTTCCATGACCAATTATCAGGGGGCTGCAGTAGTTCTGGAATGTCAAATATTTTACCTTCATATGAACATCTTCTTTGAAGGAACATGTCTAATCGTGATTTACCCAATGATTTTGTGTAGGGCTTGCCCTTTTCAAAAAGGTGAGTTCAAGACTAACTTGTCCAAAATCTTGCAATAAGTACTGAGAGAGTCTCCCGCATGTTGTTCAGTGAGGAAGCAGCCAGCTAGACCTTGATTGAAATTGACTCAGGCTGTTATTGAGTGATAAACCCAGTAAACAAACAGACCCATGATCATCAATCAGTATTAATGATAGAAGTGATTATGTATCTGATCAGGGAGATGTAATGGACACGAGAATGAAAAAAATAAAAAGTTTTAGCTCACCTGGCCTGCAGGACCAATGTGAGCTTATGGCGTGGTGCTGCATCCATGTCAACCGACATAATTTTCTTCTCAATAGCCAATGGACCAAATGTTTTGATGTTTGTCACTGATGATGACTGACGACTGATGACGCAAGCCCTGTTTGACTGGTA